CTATGCTTCCCAGGATGTCCCAATATGAACAAACTTACACTTTCAGTAAAAAGTACAAAGCATGTGTGTGTGTGTGTGTTTGTGTGTGTGTATATATATATATATATATATATATATATATATATATGCCTAAGTGACCATCACAACCAAACGGAGACCTAACAGGCTGCATGGGGCGACCAGGCCTGCGGGGGGGGGGGGGGGGTGTGCAGCAGTTGGGGGCAACCAGGCCAGCGGGGGTGGGAGGCAGTTGGGGCCAATCAGGCCAGCAGGCAGAGGCAGTTAAGGTGATCAGGCAAGCAGAAGGGCCATTTGGGGTGACCAGGGTGGCAGGGGGCAGTGAGGGATGGTCAGGCCAGCAGGCAGAGGTAGTTAGGGGTAATCAGGCTGGCAGGGGAGGGAGGAAGTGAGGGGCAATCAGGCAGGCAAGCAGGTGAGCAGTTAGGAGCCAGTAGTCCAGAATTGTGAGGGGAATGTCCAACTGCTGGTTTAGGCCCGATCCCTGGGATTGGGCCTAAACCGGCAGTTGACATCCCCCAAGGGATCCCAGATTGGAGAGGGTGCAAGCTGGGCTAATGGGACCCTCCTCCCTCATGCATGAATTTCGTGCACCAGGCCTAGTGAATTCTAAACAAAATGGAAGATTACCACACTAAAGTCATACCATTTAGTCAACTACCAAGAAAGTTAAGTAGGTTTAACTGAAACTTAGCAAAAGAGTAATTTCTAATTTCATTACCCAGTGAAAATAATTGTCATTTATATACTCTCATTTACAATAGGAAACATGTATGAACGGTGAATACTTAGGAAAAAAGTCTCCATAATTGCACTTTGAATGCTTTCATGACTTAACAATGGGTCTGCTCTTCAACAAAACTTAATGAAATATTAAAATTCTTTCGTGAATCAATCATGCAGTAAGTAATGAAAAACACTTTACCTACTTAACATAGATTAGTAATATACCAGCCAAAATATAACTTGGTCACTTCTCCAAGTTATATTTTAGCTGGAGAAAATTGCAAGCATTTGTTCCTTTTAGTTGGGTAAAACAGAACTATTTCTGGAGAGATGGAAAATTGTACAATTGGCCATCAAATGCTTTCCTCCAAGGATCTTGGCCTTCCCTAGTTTAGTCTTTTTTTGACGTTAGGACTTTTCTGTGTTCCAACCCCCTACACGTTGTACACCCAACTTCCATTGCTCTGGAAGCTATTCTCATGGCTAGGCAAAACATTTTATTCCACATTTAGTTCTACTTCATTTCTTCCAGTTATTAAAGAGTTTTTTCCTTAAAAGGACAAATATATTTAACCAGGGCTTATGGTAGTTGTAACTTGAATTGATTCAATTTTGTTTTCTCTTACTTTTTGTTGGTTGCTTTTAAAATCTAGACTAAGATTTTAAAAAAGCAAGGACAATCATGAAAAATGTAAATGATATTAAATCCTTGTAAATTCATCTTTCAAAATACAGTGTATTAAGGATAGAGTAGAAATGAGAATCATTTAAAATGTGTTTCAATTTCATTTGAAAGTATGAAAGGTTAAATTTCTCTGAGTCTCAGCAAAGAAAAATTTTAAAAACTGAGCAAACTTTAATTTAATGGTGTATATTTTTTTCTATTTATATTGGAAAATTATCCATTTTTTTAATTTCAGAAATTCAGAATAGTAATTAAATTGCTGGAAACCAAGATCATCAGTAATATAAATTCGAGAAGTCCATCAGAAGGCTGACCAGGGCTCCTTCATATTCACAGGGTGAATTTGCATTTTATTACCTACTTTGGACTCAATGGCCTAAAGCAAATTCCCCCCTTAACCTGATAATCTTACTATTTACTAAACAATCACCTTTGATATGTGTGTTTGCATTCCTAAAAGGCAATTGTGTATTCTCATAAAAGCAGGTCGGAACAGAGACTCAGTGGAACTTGACTACTACAGTTACAGTGGTGCCTCGCATAAAGAACGCCTCGCACAGCAAACGCTGCACACAACGAACTTCATTTCATGATTCATACAACGAACTTCGTTTCACACAACAAAGTCGCCCGAGCTTCCACGACTGCTTCGCCCCAGCTTCCACGATCGCATCCTTCTGCGCAGGCACTGCAGGCAGTCGTTAGTCACTGCGCTTAACTTAAGCACGTATCTCGGCAATCGTTCATTACGAATTAAATCACGCACGTATCACGGCAGTCGTCCTTTTAAGTTAAACTCAATATTTTTTTTATATCATGGCTTCTAAAAAAAGCAGGAAGGTGATTTCTGTTGAAATGAAACAGGAAATAATTAGAAGGAGTGAATGTGGGGTAAAACAGTGTGACCTCGTCAAAGAGTTTGGCCTCAGCAAGACCACCATTTTCACTATTTTGACAAATAAGGATGCAATCAAATCAGCCAAAGTAGCCAAAGGAGTATCAAAACTATTTCATGAAAAACATAGGTCTTCAATCCACGAGGAAATGGAGAGGCTATTAGCGATTTGGATTAAGGACAGGCAGGTGAAAGGTGACATAACAACCCAAGATATTATCTGTCACAAAGCCAAGAGAATTTATGACGATCTAAAGAAAAACGTCCCTGGAAGTAGCAGCAATCAAGATAATGAAGAAGAATTCAAAGCCAGCAGGGGGTGGTTTTTTAGATTTAAGAAAAGGTGTGGAATCCACAGCGTTACTATGCATGGTGAGGCTGGCAGTGCTGACAAGAAAGAAGCAGAAAAGTTCTCTATTAACTTTCAAAAATGTATTAAGGATGAAGGATACTGCCCACAACAAGTGTTCAATGCCGATGAAACGGGTCTTTTCTGGAAAAGAATGCCGAGCAGAACCTTCATTACAAAAGAGGAGAAGAAATTGCCAGGACACAAAGCCATGAAGGACTGACTTACCCTTATGTTTCGTCTAATGCCAGCGGAGACCTCAAGATCAAACCTCTATTGGTTTATCACTCTGAAAATCCAAGAATTTTCAAGAAAAATAACGTTATTAAGTCCAAACTGCCCGTCCATTGGAAGTCCAATCAAAAAGCCTGGGTGACCCAAGTTATCTTCAACGAATGGATTCTAGAAACCTTTGCTCCTGCCGTGAAGAAATTCTTGCTGGAAAAAGAACTGCCGCTCAAAGCCCTTCTGATACTTGACAATGCCCCTTCTCACCCAAAAGACCTAGAGGAAATATTGCAGGAAAATTATCCTTTTATCAAGGTGCAGTATTTGCCACCAAACACCACATCCATTCTTCAGCCAATGGATCAGCAAGTTATTGCGAACTTTAAAAAACTCTACACTAGAGCCCTCTTTAATAAGGTGTTTGAAGAATGCGAGTTTGGTGGAGACAATATGACTGTCCGAAAGTTTTGGAAGGAGAAATTTGATGTCCTTATGGCAATACGACTTATACAGAAGGCCTGGGAAGAAGTGTCACAAAGGACCCTCATTTCTGCTTGGAAGATGCTTGTGCCTTCGTGGACCCAGGAAGAAGCAGTAGTTGATGACACAGAAGTGGTGAAGGACATCATCACAGTGGCCCAAAGGTTGGAATTAGAGGTAGAGGAAGAGGATGTAGAGGAGCTTATTGAGGAACACGAAGAAGAGCTGACAACTGAAGAGCTCCAAGCACTTCTGGTCCAGCAACAGGACAATGCTCAAAGGGAAGCGTCATCTGATAACGAGGAGCAACAATCAAACACAATCAACCAATCCCAACTGCTGACATCAAGAACATCCTGGTCAAATGGAAAGCAGTTCAGGAGTTTACCAATGCCCACTATCCGGATTCAGCTGAAGCAAACAGGATCAACGATCTGTACTCCGATACTCTTGTCCGTTATTTCCGGCAGATGTTGGAGAAAAGAGAAAAACAAACGACTTTGGACAGGTTTTTCATGAAACCATCGGCCAAAAAGCAGAAAATGGATGAAGATGTGCAAGATTCGGTAGACTCTACTTAGTCTGTCTTAAAATTAAAAAAATGTGTTTGTTTTTTTTTAAAAATTATGTTTTTAGATGTATCTAAATAAAAATAATAACAAAAAATTTATCTTTTTTTATGTCATCTTAGCATATTTTATGCTACAGAACAAATTATTTTTTTTAACATGTATTGTTATGGGAAAACGCGTTTCACATAACGAACTTTTCGCATAACAAACTTGCTCCTGGAACGAATTAAGTTCGTTGTGTGAGGCACCACTGTAAGTTTTTCCTGGCTCACCCCCATTATTTCAAAATTATTACTTCTTGTCTTATGTTTTAATTTGCGCAGTCAGCTCTTTCTCCAAGCCTTTGATTCCAAAAGCCACGCTGACAGTGGCTTTTCACATTAAATTACTGGTTAAAAAATCCAATAATAATCTAAATTTAAAAGCTATTAATACAGAATAAAAATCAACTGAATTTGTGCTTGAACAGCAAAAATAAACATAAAACAAAAAAATAGCTTTGTCTCCCTGTCTGGTGTGGCTTGGTTGGGCATCTTTTTTTTTTTTAATTAATATATTTTATTGACTTTTTACAGAGAGAAAGAGAGAGGGAGAATTAGAAATATTGATGAGAAAGAACCATCAATCAGCTGCCTCTTGCACACCCCCTACTGGGAATGTGCCCGCAACCAAGGTACATGCCCTTGACCAGAATCGAACCTGGGACCTTTCAGTCCACAGGTGACACTATCCACTGAGCCAAACTGGTTTCGGCATGGTTGGGCATCTTGCCATGCACCAAAAGGTTGCTGATCCAATTCCCAGTCAGGGCACATGCAGGAGGCTATCAATGGATGTTCCACTCTCACATCAATGTTTCTCTTCTCTTCTTCTCCTTTCCTCTCTCTCTAAAAATAAAAAATGCATTTTTTTAAAATAGCACTGCCCATCATCGTATGACACTAAATAAGGTATTTTTGGCTATGTAAACATTTTAAATAAACTTGGTCTCCCTGCTTTTATTTTTATGCATCACATGTGAATGCAGAGATTTAAAACAACTTTGAATTAAAAAAAACACACAAAATATTTATTCTATACTTTCATCAGCAGTACTTTGTTGCCATATTTTTTATGCAATTTTTAAGGAGAATGTTTCATATACAACAAATTAATGCTAGCTTGGTCAAAGTTATCTTAAAAGAGTCCCTCACATTTTACAATATAATATACAAAACTATAAAATATGTCAAGGTGGAAACTCTCTGGAATTTCTTAAAAGTATTAGAAAGTACAACATGGCAAAAGAAAGCATTATAAATAACATTTAAGCATTCTGTAACATATGGTGCTCTTAATGTAACTGGAGTGCAACTTTTCTATATATATAACATGAAGTTTTTCAGAAGTAGGTGAAGTAAACAAAAGCACCAGTTCTTTAAATTACACTTGATCACGCAGACGAGCAAGTCTCTGTGATAGTTCATCCTAAAGAAAGTTAAAATGTAAAAGTTAGAAGGCTGCAACAAATATAAATAATATTTTAAATAGCTCATATTCTAAATAAGATTAAAATATTGTCCAAAAATTCACACAAAAACTAACATTAAGAATATACTTTTAAAAACATTTCAGAATAAACTGAGAACTAAATAAAAGCAGATGCTATGAAGGAAAGCAAATTCAATCTTTAAATGAAATGTGCATGCAAAGAGAAAATGTTCATCATTGAGGAGTAAAGGCTAACTAAACACAGTTTGCTAATTTATGATGACGTCACATTATAGTAGAAATCACTCTTTATAAAAAAAGATATATATACATTACTTACATATAAATATATATACAACATCTAATTCACACATCAAGTTCATACTAATCAAGACAAAATACAACTTCTACCTGTTCCATGGAAGCAACACTGGTGCCAACAGATCCTGTCTGACCCTGTGGTAGTTCCATATTGAGATCAAGGCTACAATTTTAAAATAATTAGCATAAATAGATGTTAATATAGGCATTTTACTCCTTATATAATTATAAACGTAATTATTGCGAATTTGAAAATTCCACCTAGCATTTTCCCTTAATTTAAGTAAGATAAAACTGGTTACATTTTATAAATGGAAATAGAAAAGCTAATAAAAGGCAGGAAAATTATTGGTCATCTAAACAAAAGACAAAAATAAAAATCATACAATGTATTCAATTTACTGAGGTTACTATATGACTCCTATTATAAAGGTAATTTAATATGCCAAAAAAGATAAAAGAGATTAGATAAATGTAGCCTCAAGATCCATATCTAACATTTGACTTAACTTCAAGTTCAGTATTCTAGCTCCTGAGCTACCCTTAGCATAGGGGTGTCGAACTCAATCAGAGAAGGGGCCAAAATCTAAAATCCAGCCTAAATCGCGGGCCAAATGGTTTACTGAACAGTCATAAACTGTCATTGTGATGGAAATGCAGTGGAGTGCAGTGATGACAGCGCGGTGCGGGCCACATTGCAAGGCCTGGAGGGACGGATTTGGCCCACGGGCCTTGTGTTTGACACATGTGCCTGAGCAGGAATCATTACTTGCATCCATCTCACACAACTGAAGTTTAAAAAATTAAGCTCACTTGCCCAAGATCCACCCTAGTGATAAATAGGATTTGAACCCAGGATTTTCTCCTCCAAGGCCTGTGATGTTAATCTGTATTTTACCTACTCCTCTAAGATATAAGCTAGCCTTTCTGCTTGTATCTATCTATACCAGTGTATGCCAACCTCAGTTTGAAAATACTACAGAGAACACAGTAACTTTAAAAGTCATTAGGAGAGTCTATAGACAGATAGTTACCTAAAAGGTAAAGATATGCAATACTAAAATTTTGTTGAGGGAATCACAAACTCAAACAGAATTCAGATACTTAAATATCTTTAGGGATGGGCATCAGTATTTCTATATCAGTGATTCTATCTCTACTGTTCCAGTCACCATCCATTATTGACATAACTAAATTCTCTTAATTTTGGCCCCCAATCTTCCCGCCACCCCCTGTTCCCAGAAACATCAGGCAATGCCAGGATGCATTTTTGACTGTCACAATGGGGTAGGGATGTTATCTTATGGGTAGAGACCAAAAATGTTGCTGAACATACTATAATTTATTGAACAGCCCCAAGGATTATGTAATCCAAAATGTCAATAGTGTCAAGGTTGAGAAATCCTGTTCTAAATCTTCTCAAAAAGTTATCTAATAAACTTGATTTCCATTGAGGATCAGAAAGGCTATAACGTGGCAATATTCATTTTAGAAGACCTTTGCTGTACTTTCAAGCCCAATCTTCTTATTTAGTTTTTGGTAAGAACAGAAATAAGTCCTTAGCTTCATGTTACTAAGATGGAGTCTTCTGATACAAATGCTTTGGTCTCTTAACTACTTAACAAAAATGACCTACATTAGGAAACAAACAAAACAGTGTACAACCTCCTTGCCAGTCCTACTGTCAAATATGGCAAATCTGATTTATTAAAGCTGCTTTTTAATTCACTATTGACATATTAGTTATTTAAAGAGCTGATAAACTTATCTGTTCATTCTAATCAGGTATTAGCTTACATATTAAAATAATATTCATCAACTCTATTTTCTAGGTGTCTTCAATCCTTCCGTTTCCAGGAGAAAAGGATAGAGTACATAAACTCTACTTTAATTTATTACTCTACGTTTGAGGAAAAAATATAAAACTTCAGTATCACCCAGTTTTCAATCTTTATTTTTGGGGGAAAAAAATTTACCTACAATCGTCTCTTTAACTAAATATAGTGTAACCTTGGTCCTTGAACTTCATTTTTTTCCAGAAGTCTATTCGAGAAGCAATTTGTTCAAAAACTGCATCATTTTTGCCCATTAGAAATAATGTAAGTTGAATTCATCTGTTCCAGACCCCCAGACGATTCCTTGTTTTAACCTTTCTTAATTGCCTGTGATCCTTTTTTCGTACTTTCACACCCTAAACATCAGCACTCTTGATGGATGCTTTATGTTTTAAAATTGTGCTAATTATTGATTTTCCAATGCCATACTCGGTAGCCAGATCAGATGCTCTATCATATTATGCCATTACAGTTTTTCTTTTTAAAGCTCTAAGACTGTTTTCACAACTTTCCTTTTCACTTTGCTGCTATCACTAACATTCTTAGGACCCATGATGCCTTACTGTATACATTTAATAATAATAATAAGCAGTAACAAAAGCCAAAAAAATATTCACAGCGCAATTTCCTGAGATCTTAATAATGTAAGGCTGAGCAGTAAACTGACTCATACTTGCACATTCTCTCCTTTGTTGCCCGAGAGACACATGACTGATCATACAGGTATCTGCATGAAAGCGTTGTCAGGTGGAGAACCGGACTTTTAACATTTTGTATGACAAACAGACATTTTTTTCATGAACAACTTGGTCAAGAACCAAACTGTTGGAGATGGAAGATGTTTGAGAACTGAGGTTTGACTGTTATATACTAGAGAATACTGATATAACATGACTTCTATAGCACAGACATTATCATGGGCAAGTCATTCCCCTCAAACAAAAAAGGGCCTGAAATAAGTAGTCCATTAATAAATAGCCTATTTCTAATAACAGTACAACACAGGGTGTCAATTACTTATTTAAAAATATATATATGAACGCCCTAGCATAGGGGTGTCAAACTCAATCAGAGAAGGGGCCAAAATCTAAAATCCAGCCTAAATCGCGGGCCGAATGGTTTACTGAACAGTCATAAACTGTCATTGTGATGGAAACGCAGTGGAGTGCAGTGATGACAGCGCGGTGCGGGCCACATTGCAAGGCCTGGTGGGACAGATTTGGCCCGCGGGCCTTGTGTTTGACACATGTGCCCTAGCAGGTCTTGCTCAGCGGTTAAGAGTGCTGGCCCACAGACTGAAGGGTCGCAGGTTCAATTTCAGTCAAGATAACGTACCTCCATAGCAGACTCAATCCCTGGCCCTAGTCTGGGTGTATACAGGAGACAACCAATCAATGTGTCTCTCTCACAAGGATGTTTCTCTCTCTCTCTCTGTCTCTCCCCCTCCCTTCTACTCTCTCTAAAACTCAATGGGAAAACATATCCTCAGGTGCTGCCATCTTTTAAAACCCTTGGACATTTTGCACATCTCGCTCAATTTGCAGGACTCAAATTGGGATTAACATAGAATTGTTTTTGAAAGACACTTTTTGTAAAAAGAATCCAAATATTGCCGAAACCGGTTTGGCTCAGTGGTAGAGCGTCAGTCTGCGGTCTAAAAGGTCCCAGGTTCGATTCTGGTCAAGGGCATGTACACTGGTTGTGGGCACATCCCCGGTAGGGGGTGTGCAAGAGGCAGCTGGTCGATGTTTCTTTCTCATTGACATTTCTAGCTCTCTATCTCTCTCTCTCCCTTCCTCTCTGTAAAAAAGTCAATAAAATATATATTTTTTAAAAAGAATCCAAATATTTGCTCTATCTGATAAATACAAAGGTATTGAGAAAATGTTTGAACACTCCTGCCTCTCTCAATTACCTTCCTCCATTTCTTATTATAAAATAAATGAATGTACTGCCAGAAAATTTTAAGAAAATACTAGAATGATTTGAACAAAATCACATTCTTATGAGCACAGCAAAAAGATGGATATTTCAAAGGCCCTTCCAACACTAACTTCTAGGGTCAAAATCCTAACTCTGACCATCAGTGGCAATGACAAATATTTTTATCCACACTACAAATTTTAGGACTGCCAGATATTAAATCAAGATTAACTAAATCCCCTGAATAATTTCTTACCCAGCTTCATCTGCCATTTCTTGAAGCAGCATATCCACTTGGCTCTAGAATAAGAATATGAGAATGTGTATTTTAATGACAATTGCTTTTTGGGTGATTTCTGGTTTTGATTTTGCTTTAAAAAGGGAAAACTGGTCTGCAATTTTTTAAATAAAAACTTTTAAAAATATTTTTTACCACTAGAGGGAGCTGATTTCAAAAATATTTATTTCAGAATAAAGTTAAATAATAAAGCCTTAAACTATGAGGGTATGTTAAAAATATCAGCATGGATGGCACTGGAGAAGATTATGCTAAGTGAAATAATCCAGTCAGAGAATGACAAGTTCCATATGATTTGACTCATATGTGGAATTTAATAAACAAACTGGACTACCAAGCAAAATAGAGACAGACTCAGAGAGGGCAGGCAGACAGCTCTGGTTGGAGGGGAGGTGGAGTGTTGAAGGGAATGGAGGGTTTGAGCAAAAAGGGAAAAAATAAGAGAGAACTCATGGCCATGGACAATGGTGTGGTGATTGGGGGGGGGAGGGCCATGGAGATAGAAGAGGGCATAGAGAGGATAAATGGTGATGGGGGGGAAATTGAGTTCCCAGGCATTTATGCAGTGATATTCACATATAATTTGAAACCTGGGTAATGTAGCTCTCTTTTAAAAAGTGAACCAATATATAAAGCTCTTTATTTATTTTTGGGAAAGTATTTTTATTGATTTCAGAGGAGGAGGGAGGCCTGGTTGCGTGCGGCCGGCGGGCGCTTGGGGTCCCCCGCCCCGTCCCTGCTAGGATGCCCCCCCCCCCCGCCGGAGCCCCTCCCGAACCCCCAAGTGTCCCCGCCCCCCCCCCCCCATCCCCGAGCGGCCGGCGGGGGGTGGGGCACAGACCCCGCAGAGCTGCCCCCTGTGCCAGGCCGACTTCGCAACCGGGCTAGCCCAGCTGGACATCGTCAGCCACCTCGCCCAGTGCGAAGGACGTGGTGTGGTGAGGCCCCACGCCACCTGCCAGGACCACTGCCCTGCACACAGCCTGAGAGAAAACCGAAGCTGCACATCAAAACGCCACTGTGGCCCAGCCTGCACGGCTCAGTGGTTGAGCTTTGACCTGTGAACTAGAAGGTCATGGTTCGATTCCCGGTCTGGGCACAGGCCTGGGTTGTGGGCTCCATCCCCAGTGGGCATCGTGCAGCAGACAGATGATCAGTGATTCTCATCATTGATGTGTCTACCTCTTCCTTCCTCTCCCTTCCTCTCTGAAATCAATTAAAATATATTTTTTAAAAACACAAAAAAAATATTTTGGACATACTGTTGGGAGTTCTATATATTTGGAAGTAAAATTACTATCTTATAAGTTACATGTATTTTCATATACTTTTGATTACTTCAACCAATATTAAGAACTATTTTATGCCAGATATCACTTTAAGTGCTAGGAATGCACCAATGAACAAAAATGATAAACATCCCTGCCTTTTTTTAATTTTATTTTTAGAGAGAGAGAGGAAGTGGGGAGAGAAGAATAGGGAAAAGGGTGGGAGAGAGGGAGAGAGAGCAATATCGATTTGTTATTCCACTTATTTATTATTCATTGGTTGATTCTTTTATGAGCCCTGAGAAGAGACTGAACCCACAATCTTAGTGCATAGGGACAATGCTAGAACCAACTGAGCTACCTGGCCAGAGCTATCCTTGCCTTCTTTAAGCTTCCATTCTAGAGTGTGCACATGAAGGGGAGCAAATAAAAAGTTTTACAAATTATATGGTAAATTAGAAGGTGATAAGTACTATGAAGAAAAATAAAGCAGGGATGTGGAGCGTATAGAGAATGGTGGGCTTTCTCTTGATGTGCTTTTAAGTTGGATGGTTAGAAAGACCTCATTTAGAAAATGACAAAGAACTGAAGAAGGTGGAGAGTTGGCAATGAGGATATCTGCTAGATGGAGGAAGACTATCCAGGCAAAGGAAACTGAAAGAGTAACAGCTTTGAGACAGAAATGCACTTGGTGTGCTTGAGAATTAATAAGTAGGCCACGTGACTGATAAGAGTGCTAAGCAGTAACAGGAGATAAGGTCAGAGAAGCAGGGAGAGGCAGTGTTTCCCAAACCTTTGACATATGTGTACCCCTTCTATAATTTTCGTAACGCTGAGTACCCCTCATACTCATGAGAACATAGAATTAGGCGCAGCTTAGCACGGTGCAGTGCATATCCCCACCAAACTCCGGTGCAAGGCGTTCCCTCACCAAACTCTTCCCGTACCCCTGGGGATACGTGTACCACACTTTGGGAAACACTGCTATAGCATCTTACAGGCAATTGTAAAGAATTTGGTTTTTATTTTTAGGGAGATGTGGAGCCACTAGAGGATTTTGAGCAAAAAAATTTGCATGGTCTGACAATGTTAATAGGATCACTCTGGCTGTTACGTTAAAAACAGACTGTAGATATTACTAAATTGCCTTTGCAAAGTGGATATTCCCATTTAAATTCGAACTGCTCACTAGCAGGTTATGAAAATGTAGGTAACTAAATATGTTCAACCAGATCCCTTTCTGTTTCTGTTAGAATGTTTTGCATATATTTGACTATCGCCAGCACCTAGCACAATACCTTAAACACAAGGTGTTCAGCAAATGTTGGGTGAATAAATCTGAAGATTTTTTTTCAGAAGTAAAAGGCATTTTTTATATCATTGGTTCCAAGCCCTAGATTTTATAGCTACATATGCTGAGGCCCATGGTTGTAAATATTTTAAGGTTCCAAAGTTAATTAGTGGCAGAGTGGAGAATAGAAATCCAAGTGTCCTGACTTCAAGTCATTTTTTCCAATTCACTTGTGTTTCCTAAACTTGTGGGCATAAGAAAAACTTACACTGAAAAGATGCTATCTGAACATCATATAATCACCTGGGGATCACCAATTCATGACAGAGCTTCTCAAACATGGCACAAAAAAAATAACCTGGGAACCTTGTTAAAATGATTCTGATTCAATGGCTGTGGAGGGGGGTGTTCTAAATTTCTGCATTCCTAGTGAGCTTCCAGATGATACAAATGTTCTTGGTTCCTGAACCACATTTGGGGGATCAGGGCTCTAAGGCAAGCATGTCAAACTCAAGACATGGGGCCTGTCAGCCACGAGTTTGGCATGCATGCTCTAGAGAAAGTATAAAAGTAAAGGCTAGATATATATGCTCACTATAGGATATAGACATTATTCTTTCTTTACTCTAACACCTAAATATAAGTTTGTTCTCTTATTATTTACCTTTTTGTGAGAAGAGTCATTGGAATTAAAATATCAATGTACAGTTGCTGATTTCTTCCTAACCTATTCTATAAATTACATTTTCTCCATATTAGCAAAGTAGTAGTAGCAAGTTCTTTGTTCATTTGATTACCCAAGTAGAGCCAAGTTCCAACCTCTCTAGACATATGACCTAATATAACTTTTAGAATTTCAAAATAAAATAGGAAATGGTATCTTCCAACATGTCCTCAGGAATCCAAGGGCAAAGCACAATTTCCTACTTGCATTTTTGGGATACACCATGTTTACTTCACATTCTAGAGATGATTTGGGCTCACAAAGCCATTATATCATGAACTCAGGTAATTTTTTTTTCATGTAATTTTTAAGAAGTAATTCTAAGTAAAGAAACTATTCTTACTTGTGGTGTTGTTAGGGTTGTAGTACTACTCATTGTGTCTTCCATTTGTTGTGTTTGAACATCCAGAGTTTCAAATTGGTGTTCAAATTTGTCCATCAGGGCAGAAATCTATAAAAAGAAATATGGTCATGAGAAAAACTTATACAGAAAAGATGCTATCTGAATATCAAATATATGGATTTTTTTTACCTTTTCAAGGTTCATACTCCTCAATGTGGCATCCATAGATTTAACTACACCTGCCATGGACTTGGTTACCTATTGGAAGTATTAAAAAAAAAAAAAAAAGATTGAGCATGCTATAAGTATTCTCAAACTCCAGATATTCTCTTAAATATATTATTTATAGATCAACCTATAAAACTTGCCTGTCCTTTATTTAACAGTAAAAGTACAGTATGTATGTTTTGTCTTTGATTCTTCATTGGAAGACAACTCATAAATCTTACTTTAAAAGCCACTGTCAAAACCACGTTCCTTACTAAGTACTTTGACTATGTCGTTCTAGCCTAGGGGTGTCGAACTCAATCAGAGAAGGGGCTAAAATCTAAAATCCAGCCTAAATCGCGGGCCGAATGGTTTACTGAACAGTCATAAACTGTCATTGTGATGGAAACGCAGCGGAGTGCAGTGATGACAGTGCAGTGCGGGCCACATTGCAAGGCCTGGCGGGACGGATTTGGCCCGCGGGCCTTGTGTTTGACACATGTGTATCTAGCCCTTAAAGGCCTTTACTAGTGATCTACAGTACCCTCCAATGGATTTAGATTTCAGGAAACTCCTAATACTCTCATTAAACTTAAATCAAGAGTTCCCAACATGACCAAGTGGGATTTATTCCAGGGATGCAAGGCTGGGACAATATTCGCAAATCAATAAATGTGATACACCACATAAACAAATTGAAAGACAAAAATCATATAAACATATCAATTGATGAAGAAAAGGCATTTGACAAAGTCCAAAAAAAACACTTTTTGAATAAAAATGCTAAGCAAAGTGGGAATAGAAAGATCATTCCTCAACATAATAAAAGACATCATACTCAATGGGCAAAAACTAAAACCATTTCCCTTAAGAAAAAGAGCAAGATAGGGATGCCCACTTTCACCACTCCTGTTCAACATAGTACTGGAAGTACTAGCCACAGCAATCAGATAAGAAGAAGAAATAAATGATATCCAAATTGGAAAAGAAGTAAAATTGTCATTATTCACAGATAACATGAAATATACATAGAACACCCAAAAGACTCTATAAAAGAATTATTACACTTAATAAATGAATTCGGCAATGTAGCAGGATAAAAAATTAATGTCAAGAAATCTGCCGGGACCGGTTTGGCTCAATGGATGGAGCGTCGGCTTGGGGACTGAAGGGCCCCGGGTTCGATTCTGGTTAAGGGCATGTACCTTGGTTGCGGGCATATCCCCAGTAGGGGGTGTGCAAGAGGCAGCTGATCGATGACTCTCTCTCATCGATGTTTCAAACTCTCTATCTCTCTCCCTTCCTCTCTGTACAAAAATCAATAAAATATATTTTTTTTAAAAAAGAAATCTATGGCATTTTTATACACCAATAACAAACTTACAGAATGAGAGATTTAAAAAAAATCCAATTTACCATTGCACAAAAAGTTAAGATACTTAGGAATAAACTTAACTAAGGAAATAAAAGACCAATACTCTGAAAACCACGGGACGCTGACAAAAGAGATAGAGGAAGACATAAACAGATGTAAGAACATACCGTGTCCATGGATTGGTAGAATCAAAACATTAAAATATCTATACTGCCCAAAGCAAGCTATAGATTCAATGCACTCCCCATTAAAATACCAACATCATATTTCACAGACCTAGAATGAACTCTCCAAAAATTCATCTGGAAGAAAAAAAAAAGATCCCAAATAGCTGCAGCAATCCTGAGAAAGAAGAACAAAGTAGGAGGGATCTCAATACCAGATATCAAGGTGTATTACAAAGCTACTGTTCTCAAAACTGCCTGGTACTGGCACAAGAACAGACATATAGATCAATGCAATAGAACAGAGAACCCAGAAATCGACATAAACCATTATGTTCTATTACTATTTGACAAAGGAGGCAAGAACATGAAATGGAGTAAAGGCAGTATCTTCAATAAATGGTGCTGAGAAATGTGGTCAAACACATGCAAAAAAGGAAAGAAAGAAAGAAGAAAGGAAGGAAGGAAGGAAGGAAGGAAGGAAGGAAGGAAGGAAGGAAGGAAGGAAGGAAGGAAGGAAGGAAGGAAGGAAGGAAGGAAGGAAAAGAAAGAAAGAAAGAAAAGAAAGAAAAGAAAGAAAAGAAAGAAAAGAAAGAAAGAAAGAAAGAAAGGAAGAACTAAACCACCAACTTACACCATACACAAACATAAATTCAAAATGAATAAAGGACTTAAGCATAAGATGGTAAACCATAAAAATATTAGAGGAATCTACAGGAATCAATATCTCAGACATATGCCAAAGCAATATCTTCACCGATACAGCTCCTAGGACAATGGAAACTAAGGAAAAAATAAACAAATGGGACTACATCATAATAAAAAGCTTCTGCACAGCAAAATAAACCATCAACAAAACAACAAGAAAGCCCACTTCATATTTGTTAATATTTGTCAATGTGATCTCTGATAAAGGTCTAATCTCCAACATTTACAGGGAAATCATAAAAGGACAATAAACAATCCAATCAAAAAATGGGCAACGGACCTAAATAGATACTTTTTAAAAGAAGACATGAAGAAGGCCAAGAGACATATGAAAACATGCTAAAAGTCATTAATTATCTGAGATATACAAATCAAAACAATGCGGTACCATCTCACACCTGTCAGAATGGCTATCATCAACAAATCAACAAACAACAAGTGCTGGCAAAGATGCGAAGAAAAAGGAACCCTTGTGCACTGCTGGTGGGAATGCAGACTGGTGCAGCCACTGTTGAGAACAGTATGGAATTTCCTCAAAAAACTAAAAAATGGAACTCCCATTTGACCCAGTGATCCCAATTCTAGGAATATATCCCAAGAAACTAGAAACACAATCAGAAAGAATGTATGCACCCCTATATTCATAGCGACACAATTCACCATAGCAAAGATTTTGAAACAGCCCAAGTGCCCATCAGAAGATGAGTGGATTATCAAACTGTGGTACATCTACATGATGGAATACTATGCTGCAGTAAAAAAAGAAGGAATTCTTACCATTTGCAACAGCATGAATAGAGCTGGAGAGCATTATGCTAAGCGAAGTACGTCAGTCAGAGAAAGATAAATTTCACACTATCTCACTTATTTGTGAATTATAATGAACAACATAAACTGATGAACAAAAACAGATCCAGAGACAGAGAAGCATTGATTAGATGCTCAAACCTCAGAGGGAAGGTAGGGGAGGGTGGGGATAAAAGGGAAGAGATCAACCGAAGGACTTGTATGCATGCACATAAGCCTAACCAATAGACACAGACAACAGGGGGTGAGGCTGAGGGCATGATTGGGGGGCAGCAGAGGGAATAATATAATACGTTAATCAATAATAATAATAATAATAATAATAATAATAAAAAATTACATGGGGGAAAAAGAGTTCCTACTATTTATAGATATTAAGCCTTACCTTGCCCATTGTTACTGCAGTTTGAACTCTGGCTGCCACAGCATCAACCCTAGCACTCATTCTCAAGAAATTAATTGCTTGGTTCTTCTGGCGGATTGCATTTTCAGCATGTATTCTTGCAACTTCAGTATTCCCTTTCTGAATAGCCTGTTTCACACAGAGCAAAAAGTAAATAGTGGTGAAGACAATTTTTAATAATATTTAAGAGCTTTCATAATTAGTTTTTAAGGAAATAAAATGAGAATTTATGGATCTTTAAATTTAAAATCATACTTTAAAAATTCCTCACAAGCCCATCACTGAGCCATTACCACTGTTAATATTTCATTTAGTTTTATAGTATTCCAAGTATATAAACCTATTTATTACAATATAAAGTTATTATTTTTTTAATATATTTTATTGATTTTGTACAGAGAGGAAGGGAGAGAGATAGTTAGAAACATCGATGAGAGAGAGTCATCAATCAGCTGCCTCTTGCAGATACATGCCCTTGATCGGAATCGAACCCGGGACCCTTCAGTCCCCAAGCCGACGCTCTATCCATTGAGCCAAACCGGTCTGGGCTATAAAGTTATTATTAAGTAAATGCATAAGACATACTATTTTCTCATCCAATTAAAAAAAACACATCTTTTTAAGTCAAATATATTATAACTACATTAACATTTTTAAAGGCTAGTAGCATCAATGTACTAACCAGAGCTATCCTTGTGACTGGTACAAACACTACAGAGAGGACATAAATTTACTTTGCATGTACGCAAGACAACCATGTTCAGTTTAATTATGCATTTATTTAAATGTATTATTTGAAATAAAAATAACTAACACAGATCTAGGCTTTTCTTGCACTAATAGCTTTGGCCAGGGCTAAAGTTAAAAGTCAGTTTAGAAGAAAATATTAAATAGCTCAGATAGACCTCCACAAAAGCAAAACAGAGAAGGTACAAAAGTTTAAAAAAAAATGTTGAGAACATGCATAGATTAATATCCTGGTGGGCACATAGTACAATATACAGGTCTTGTGCCATAGAAAAATATACACATGAGGGAAATTGAAGATGGCTGCCGACGGGAAGGCAGGCTGCAAGACAGTGTGTGAGAGAACAAAAGGAGAGTTGTGGTCACACAGGGAGTGTTTGTTTGTGAGTGAGGGACAGCTATATTCCAAGGGACCATTGGGGACTGCCAGACTGGGCTGCCCTGACCAGGCAGCCTCCACTGCTGATGAAATCTCTCCTGGAGGGACTGGCTCTCCCACAGAGACTGTGCCATCCTAAAGGGGAGAGTGGCTGTCATCATAAAGCCTAGCCTTACCTTCAACCGGGAAGAATCAGATACCTGTCGGGACCCTACAACCACAACACACAGGGACCAGATGCAAACCCACAAACACTGGGTCTCAAGCAGCACGAATATGCGGACTAGAACAAGCTCTGCACCTTTTCACAGAAAGGTCAGATTTTTCCCAGAGGAAGGTAAGGTCTGTGATCCAGACTGGAGGAAGAAACGTGTGCAATGGGCACTAGAGCAGAAGTCGTCTTTGCCCACAAAATCCGCGGCTGTTGGGGCCAATGTAGTCTGCAAATGTGGAAGGGGGTCCACAGGGCTGCTGGCAGAAGGGAACTCTAGAAACCAACCCATACCTGGGCTGGGCACAAAAAGGCGGCCTGAAGTGTTACCAGTATACCAGCTGCGCTGTGCCAGGGGAAAAATAGGTGCGCAGAGACATGCACAGAGTAGCATGCAGTGCCAAGGCAAAAAAGTTGTTTATGTGCTTACTCTGGTTCTTTTTTCTTTTTAAATCCTTGCTTTTGATTACTAAGCCCAGAACATTAGATCACCCAATTAAAAACACTCTCAGATTCATGCAAGAATGGGCCTTCTTCCCTCTTGTTGTTGATACCGCCTTTGCTCTGGCCAGAGCTGCCTTTATACCTTCGCTCTGCCCAGAGCCACCTTTCTGCCTTCCCACACTGCCCAGAGGCCCCGAGTGGCTGGGGCGGTGCAGAATGCCTGCATTGTCGCCATTAACCTACCTGTGTATGCAAATTAACCTACCATCTTTGTTGGGTTCATTTGCATACTCATTCCTGATTGGCTGGTGGCATCGCAAAGGTATGATTTATATCTTTCTCTTTTATTAGTGTAGATTGGCAAATACCAATAACAAAGTGAGAATCTTAAAAGCAGCTAGAGAGAGACAGAAAGTTAACTACAAAGGATCCCCCATCAGACTAGATTTCTCAACAGAAACACATCAGGCCAGAAGGGAATGGAATAAAATATACAAAGTCATGCAAAGCCAGGACCTGAATCCAAGAATACTATACCCAGCAAGGCTATCAATCAAAATTGAGGATGAGGGGTCAGAAGATGGCGGCGATCAGGATGGAGGTGAGGGAGAGGGTGTGAGTGAGGGGGTGAAAGTAGAGTGTGTGGATGTGTGTGGTGTATGTGTGAGAGGAAGGGAGGGACAGTTAAATCCAGCAGGTGTAGCAGGGGCTGGCAGGTCAGGCTTTCTTGGACAGGGAGAGACTACCACCGCTGCCGGCACTCCCCAGACTGCGGGACTTGGGCACAGAGTTCACGCCATCTTGAAGGGGAGAGCGGCCTCTTCTAGGAACTTATCAACACCACCACCCAGACAGGCCTTAGACATTGCCTGAGACCTGGCAGCCACTCCAGCCAAAATCCTGCTGCCCCACCCGCAGACCTGCAGACCCTGGGACCTCCACCTCCAAGGGTGCACACTCCCGCAGCAGGAAGTGCGACCCCCCCTGCCCCAGTGGCTGAACTCCTGATGCCACAGTCATGCTTCTCCGGCGCCACAGTCACACTTTTCAAGCGCACAAGCTGCCTGAGCCCACCACTCCACAGGCTGCAAGCGAGTGCTGCCGTGGGGCACACTCTTGCCCAAACAAGGACTATCTGCCCCTGGCAGTAGAAATTCTGGATTCCCCCTTCCTGGATACCTCCCCGCAGCCACCTCGGTCACGCGGATTCAGTGCACCTCCACTTGGCCCGCGCATACCCAACACAGGGCATAAGGCCCCAGCAGTGCAAACACAGACTTCCCCCACTCCCCGCTGCCTGCCCAGAGACACCTCAGTCACACGGCTTTAGTAAAAGGGCCCATCTGAGTGCACCTTCCTGGCCATCAGCCCCGGATTACCCCTGGGAGCCACTCCTGGGCACACGCAAATTCAACCAAGGGCACAGCAGCAAAAACTGAGAATCCCCACATCACAGCTGATATCTGGATGCCACAGTCGTGCTCTGCCAGTGTGTAGGCCCCTCATCGCAAGGACTAAAAGGTGGTCCTTGGGTGCCTCTGTGAGTCCCTGCTGGGCACGCTCTTATCCAAACAAGGACCCACTGCTCAAGCAGTAGAAATTTTGGATTCCCACTTCCTGGATACCTGCCCACAGTCATCTCCTTTGTGCAGCTTTAGCGCCAGGACCCCTCTGAGTGCCTGAGTGTGCCACCACTGGGCGTGAGTGAACCCAAGCAAGAGCAGTAGAAATTCGGACTCCCTGTACTTCTGGCTACCTACCCCCGGACACCTCAGTCACGTGGCTTAAGCATAAAGGCGTATCTGAGCGCTCTGCCCTGGCATTCAGCCTTGGGGTACCCCTGTAAGTCACCACAAGGTATGCGCGAATCCAACCAAGGTCATAGCATCAAAAACAGTTTTCCCACTTCACAGCTGCTGACCTCTGGACATCAGGGCTGCGCTTTGCCAGATCACAGGCCACCTGAGCCCAAGGCCGCAAAGGCAGTTCTTGGGTGCCTCTCTGAGCCCCCGCTGGGTACACTCTTATCCAAACAAGGGCGCACTGCCCCAGCAATAGAAATTATGAGTCTCCCCTTTCCAGATACCTGTCCACAGACTCCTTGATCACACGGCTTCAACGTGAGGGCCACGCTGAGTGCACCGTCCTAGCAAATGGCTCCTGGGTTGCTTCTGTGAGCAGCCACTGGGTGCGCACAAACCCAGCCAAGGGAAGAATGCCCCCAGTAGTAGAAATTCTGATTTACCCCACTCTTGGCTTCCTACCCAGAGACACCTCAGTCACGCAGCTTCAACGCAAGGGCCTCTCTGAGTGCACCGCCTGGCAAACAGCCCCGGCGTACCTCTGTGAGCCACCACTGGGCACACTCAAATTAGACCACCAAACACACAGCAGCAAAAACTGAGTCTACCCAACTCACAGATGCTGATCTCCGGACACCACAGTCACGCTTTTTCAGAGAGCAAGCCTCCTGAGCCCACTGTCTCAAAGGCGGCTCTTGGGTTCCACTGTGAGCCCTCGCAGGTCGCACTTGTATACAAACAAGGATGCACAGCCACAGTACTAGAAATTTTGACGTCCCCCCCTCTGGCTGCCTGCCCATAAACACCTCAGTCACTCAGCTTCAATGCAAGGACCATGCTGAGTGTGCCACCCTGGCAAATGGCTTCCAGGTGCCTCAGTGAGCCACAGCTGGGCGCACACAAAGCCAACCAAGGGTACAAGGCCTTGGCAGCAAAAACTGAGTCTTCCCACCCCAAAGCTGCCAATCTCAGGACACCATAGTCACGCCTTTCCAGAGTGCAGGCCTCCTGAGCCCCACCACCTGGGCAGATAGCTCCTAGATGTACCTGTGATCCATCACTGGGTACGCGCGATTTCAACCAAGGGCACAAGGCAGCAAAGATTGGGACATGCCCCTCCCCGGCTGCTGACCTCTGGACATCACAGTTGTGCCTTTCCAGCACACAGACTTACTGAGCCTGCTGCCCCATAGGCAGCTTCTGGGTGCTTCCTTGAGCCCCAGCTCAGCAAGCTCATATCCAAACAAGGGTGGACAGCCCTGGCAGTAGAAATTTGGACTTCCCCCTTCCCAGCTGCCTACCCGTGGACATCATACACAGCATCCTGTGGTTTCAGCATGGAGGTCCCCTGAGGACACTGCCCCAGCAGGCGACTCCTGGATGCCTCTGTGAGCTGCCACTAGGCGCACTTGTATCCAACCAAGGGCTCAAGGCCTCTCAGCAGAAACTCGGACTTCCCACCCCTCAGCTGTTGACCTGCGGTCGCTGCAGTGGCACAGATCCAGCGTGCAAGCCCCCTGAGGCCACTAAACTGGCAGGGGCCCCC